GGAAATTCTCAAAAATATCAGCCAGGAGTAACACATCAGTTTTCAGATACAAATCAGAATATTCACCAAGTGTTGAGAGACCAAATTTCTCCCAAACTTGACACGCATGTGCATAATCGTTATTTGAAATCATTTGGTTGTTCAGTGCCAAAAAAAAAGCTTCTCTTAAGGGCAGTTCTCGATCATCCAATTTATCCCAACTATCCAAGTATTCATAGGGAAATACACCCTTCCTCATTAATAAATGGAATTGTTCATCATCATCACAATGAGCCAGTGTAATAGTCTTGTCTACATCAGTCAGGTCTGATGCCAATTGTTCCAAGCTACTTGCCATAAACCTGAACGAATCGATGAATCTCAAGCTAACTTTCGTCTGTGGAATAGATTTCCTGAATGAGATATATCTCTCTTTGGTTAGTGGAAGCAACGCTAGCGGTCCCTCAAAATATTTTACCAAATCTTTAATCAAAAAATGTGCATCATAGCCTGAGAGATTATGAAAACTTATGGGGATATCTTGTGAATTTTTGTAATTTATATTGCAACCAGCATGCGCCGCTCCACGATACCTGCCTGTGAAGTGACAATGGTCTCGATGTTTTATATCTGTGGAACTGAAAGGCTTCTCACATATATGACACACTCGAGCAGTTGCAAAGTCTCGCGATATTTCGTCGGTAAGTGGTTCCATTGGTACAACAGTCTTCAATATATCATTTACCATCTCTCCCGTCTTCTTTAATTCATTCATGAACCACATGATACAATCCGCGCCACGTTTGATTTTAAAGAGAGATAGGTTATTACTGAAGGAACACTGTAAGTAGAAAGCGACACTGTGAGGGATGCGTTTCTGGTACAATCTGTTATCATCATCATCATCATCATCAATCGGTTGTAAAATACACTCCAGATCAGCGTAAATAACGAATGGCACTGGTTCCTTGAATTTATGATTTCGAAATTTCAAGATTTTATTCTCCTCCAACGGTAGTATCATTTTACATTTGTTGATAACAAAGCAGTCTTGTTTGTGATCCTCATAACTTTTTTTCTCCCGAAAATGACACAAGCACCGATCACAGAGCCATGTACGGTGGTCGTGATTTAAAATTTGCGCACTAACAAGTCTTGAAAGATCACTAATCCACGCGAAGTGATAAACTGGCTGTACATTGACAAAAAAGTAATAAATGAATTGTAGGTATTTCTAATTCCATTTTGCTGAAATAAAACGGTACTATCTCCGTCTCAGCGTTCACTCCACTTTCAAGACCATAAATATTGATTGATAAATCATTTCTCTTCTCAAATTTAAGAACATCACTTAAAGAGATGGGGACATTAATACCCCTGTAATCAAGTCTCTTCAGGCTTTGGGGTAGAGTTGCATTTGCATAATGTGGGTATGATGAAGTAACACATCTGTTTCTCTTCGCTGGATGAAGAGCCGCAATAACTGACCACAAGAAACAGAATTTATCTGAATTTCTTATATTCACAACGGCTTTTTTACACTGTATATGAGACGTTAGCTCTGCGTAAGTCGATAAACCTACAGCGAGTGGACTATAGCGATTGATATTAATCATTAAATTTAGCACTTCGATCAATTCCCACCCTGAATCACGTTCTTGGAAATCCTCGATTTTCATAAGCAGTGGTTCAATCACATTCTCATCAAACCATGCCCCCAGGTCTGTAGCTGGTAGACTAATTGCATTCTTCGTATTAAAATGTTTTGTTTCGTTGGCAATGACCTCTTCCTTTTTTATTTGAAATTTACCAGCTAATGTACTGTTCACTTTCACATTCCCATTAGTCTCGAGAACATTTTTCAAACGCATAATTGTTAACTCTTTGGCATCCCTCAGAAAGGCAGCTGGATCCTTGTTTTGTAGATTAATCACAGTACCAGTGCGTATGCGACCTTGGAAGGCTAAGGGGCCATCCCTTCAGCGTACTCGATCTGTGAGTGTTTCTTCTCTGCTACCTGATGGCACCTGCACTCGACCTCCTCGACGTTGTCTATTCCTGAAACTCTCCTGGCATCCTTGGATTCGTGCGATTGTCGATAGAATTTGATTTTTCTCACCAACAGAGAGATTAGTTTTGATGAGAGTTTTTGTATAAAGTTGAATATAGCGGATACACCGATTAATCCATTTGTTTATGTCTTGAGAGAGTGCATTCTGGTAAGCATGTTCCAGAATTTCAATTATTCTAGCACAGGGGATGATGTTACGTTCCATCTTGGAATTACACTAACGAACTCAATAGAAATGTACATCCATTTATAGCAACGATTGTGTTTATTTAAATCTTAAATACCTACTGAATTTCTCAGGAATTATCGACGGTTGGGATTCTGCGATCAATTTGTCCGTTGAGAAATACGTTGGATAGAATTCTCAAGAATTATCTGACGGTTGAGATTCTGAGAGTAATTTTTCCGTTGAGAAAAACGTTGCATGTTACCCCACTCCCCCCAAGAATCTTATGACCGTTGAAATAATAGCCAATAATCGCATCCTCCCCTCCCCTAATCGAAAGACTATAAGTACCATCAGTGCAATCAGTGTTTCTCCAGTCGATTGCCTGTAACGGTGACCATACAATTGTCCAACAACATCCAGTGAAAACAGCAGAGAGAGAACAGTCAAAATGGAGACGAACCAAGCTACGAATCTCGATGAGATCAATAAAATTGCAACTGTGGGGGATTTCCTGCCTACCAAACGTCGAGCAGAGCTAACTCTCGGCCAGGTGTATCCAGTGACGGATTTGAAGATCATCCCTACGAAGTTTGGCAACAAAGTGACAGTTGTGTTGAACGATGAGTGCATCGTTTACCTACCAAAGCGAGTGTCTGACATCTTCATGCTGGATCTACCGAAACTGGAAATGTTTCGCATGGCTGCTACCTCCACATGTCTGAAAATCACCTTTCTGGAAGGACCCTATAACCCATGCCTCTTTAGTTGGAANGACGCTGGTGAAATAAATGAACAACAACTCAGAATTTGTGTTTTTTTCTTTTAAATATATTTAAGAAAAACATTTCTTTAAGAAAAAATATAATAAATTGAAGAAGATAAAAAATATATAAAATGTAAAAAAAAATATAAAGAATATGAAAAAAATGATGAAAATATATAAAAATATAAAAAACTAAAGAATAAAAAAGAATGGTGCACGATCCGAGAGTTGACAGCATCTGAAACACAAGAAAAAAATAACATTGGAATTAGTGAGGGAGATAAAGAGATGAGAAAGAAGTAAAGAGAGAGAATAATGTTTACTCACTTTATTCAATGCGATGGCTTTGATCCGCCAGTACGAGTCATGCTGCAGAGACCAGGGGTCTCATATATGACAGCATCTCTCGTGCCTCTTCCTCACGATCCACGAGAAGGAGGAAATTGAGGCAATTCCTCAATTCCTGGTGAAGGTCGCCCAACTACACAAAAAAAA